GAGAAGCAGCGCGTCGGTGCGCGCCCGGGATCCGAACCCGGGTCGCCGGCAGTGGAGCGCGCACACTCAACCACCAAGCCACGGGGCCGGCCCTGAACATATTTGATGAGATATGAATTAGTGGTAAGAACAAAGAAAAATCCAAGTTGAAGGATTAAATTTCTCTCAAAATCAGTCACTCACATGTCTCTAACTATGTCATAAACTGTTGATGAGTTTGATGTATATTCCAGGCACAAAGCCCCTTCCAGAAGCAGAAACTCCTAACCTGCCACCTTCTGAACTGAAATAGATGCATCAGCATTTCACATCCCTAAGAACAGCTCCTAAAAGTTATTAGCAAAGGTTATTTGTAGGTAGAGAAGCAACAGACATAAAGATTTCAAAGTCAAAACGTAATGCTCATTAATTTTAATTTTCTGAGGCACACGCTAAGAGAAAAATGTTCATTAGAGAGAAAAGCAAGACCATTCCTCCTTCACAGAAACTGGCAAATACAGAATGAATGCACAAAACACCTGGATTTGCTTTCCTGTTTCTTTGCCAGTAACTTTTTTTAATATAAGATTAGCTAAGAGTCAAACAAACCTTCAGAGCAATGAAATACACACAGTCACACTGATACTCTCTCACAAAAGAGAGCAAAGCTGATGCTATTTAAATATCACGAAATATTTTCCTAACCGTGCACAGATGGAAGTACCGACTTTTCTGCCAACCGCCTGGTTCAGAAACTTTGCTCTATTTTTAATTATTTGGTTCAGAAGACCCGTTTGTGATTAACTTCTGTGTTGGATGGCGAAGCAAGTAAAGTCCCTGACCCACAGCAAAGAACACTGAGAGAAGCTTAATTATTTTTAAACAGCTAGTGTAATATTGTAAACCATGTGTAGGGACAACCAATTTGTCAAAGACCTGTTGATGGTGGCTGCCGTGTGAAGCTGTAGCGTATAAGTAAAACAGAAAAATCAAGGAGGTCTTTAGGAAGTGACACCAAGATGAAGTTCTTAACCACAAATACATTTTCGTCTTTGAGTAATAGCCATGGAGTAAGAAATGGAGAGGAAGAATTTAATAGTGCTGTAAGGACTAATCTTATTAGCACTAGAAGTTTCAGTTTTGACTAGGCTTGGTGAATGGAATGCCAAGGCTTTAAGCACAGGAAACAGACTCAGATACAAGGAGAAATTGGTCAGGAAACTCAAACCATAGAATTCAGAATCACACACTAGAACTGCTGAGCCAGATAAAATCCCAGAGAAGTAGAAAGAGAAACAACAGTCTAGCAATAAGACAGAAAAGATGGTCAAGGTAAGAAGCAGCAGGTTGGAGCTGTTTTATATTTTTAAGAGCTGTGTATTTTTAAACAACAAACCCAAGTAGCAGATTAGTATAAACACAGAAAGAAACTGAAATACAAGGCATCTAGTTTAGAACCTTGAAGGAAAAATAGGGCTAAAACCTAACAGACCTTTATTCCTAGGAAGCTTTCTTTGGATCCATGCCTCTAAACGTTTAAGATGTTCTGTATTTAAGTCCTTGATGTACCTGGAAAACCTCCGATTCTACAGAACCATAGGTCATAGAGAGCCAAAATGTTTCAGGAGTAATAGTTACTGCTAAAAATTACATTTGCAATGACTCCAGGATCACTGCGAGAATGGTCTGGGAATTGAAAAAACAAAACAACAAGCACCTAACTTCTCCTTGAGAAGTGTAAAAATGGGGAATAAAAACAGAACATCCTTTGGTGGGGGTCCTAATTCTGAAGTTCACCCTCTTTTTTTTTTTTTGTGAGGAAGATCAGCCCTAAGCTAACATCCATGCTAATCCTCTTCTTTTTGCTGAGGAAGACCGGCTCTGAGCTAACATCTATTGCCAATCCTCCTCCTTTTTTTTTCCCCCAAAGCCCCAGTAGATAGTTGTGTGTCATAGCTGCACATCCTTCTAGCTGCTGTGTGTGGGACGCGGCCTCAGCATGGCTGAAGAAGCAGTGCGTCGGTGCAGGCCCGGCATCCGAACCCCGGGCCGCCAGCAGCGGAGCTTGCGCACTTAACCGCTAAGCCACGGGGCCGACCCCTGAAGTTCACCTTCTTAAACCACTAACACTGGTTACTAGCTTTTGACTGGGTTGGTTGACATGGCAAGACCCTTAAACCGATGCATCCATATTTGTGGGCAATTATGAAATTTCAATAACTGGAAGCAATCCAGGGGGCATCACGAGGAGAAGAAAAAAGCTGATCAGTTCCAAAAAGTCCAAAATAAAGTTGACTCCTATTATATATATTCATAGTCCTCCTTCTCTACTACGCAAATAGGTGAAATATATGTATGAGTACGTGTGTTGGCAAGAGACTGGAATTTGAAAAAAAAACAATTAAACAAAAAGCACATCTATGACTGAATTATTTATAGTTGCAAATGGTTTCATAATACCAACCCAGTATTATTACTATAGGCCACAGGCCATGGCTTAGAAATGTTTTTATTTCATTTAGAAATGTTTCTATTTGCAGTAACAATAGCCACCATGCTGGGATGGGATTTGACCTGTGTCTTTGTCCATAAAACAATCCTATAAGATATGTAAACATGAATTCAATTTTCTTTAAGTCAAGGAAAGCAAAAATATGGTTGTCAGAACAAGAATGCTTTCTGTGGGGTATTCTAGTTAAATGAAAGCTATTCAACTTGAATCAATTGCTGTATCCATTCTCCAATACACAGCAGATTTATATTTCAGAAGGTTTTTGACAGAGAACAAAATGTTACTGAAATATCTCTTCCATTCCTTTTGTCCTACATAACATTCCATGGGCTGAACTCCCAACAAGGGGCATATATTTGTCAGCTTCTGTTTGCTCTTGTTCTATTCCAGTTTGTCTTTGTTGCAAATTTTCAGTTTTGACCCTTTCCTGACACAAATTAATACACACCTTTTGGTTGTGTTACACGTTGTAATAAAAAAAAAAAACTTACAATTTTATTCTGTACCATCATTAAGCACCTGTAACTTTTTAAAATAAGGCCTGCTATTTAAATCAATAGAACATTTTTTTATATCTGCTTATGTAAACACTAGAAATCCAGGGAGAAAATTATTCCAATCCAACAATCCACACATTCCTACATAAAACCAATCACTTGAGTATTTAAAAGCTAGATCTGTGGGGAGAGACAGGCCGGAACCAGCACGAACAAGTCTGTGCAAGATGAATTTATCCTCTGCTGCCTCTACTCCAGGTCATCCCAGGACTACGCCTGTGGGCAAACGCCAAGATGGAAAGAATGGATTGGTGCCTGTTTTCTACCATATCTATGTAAAGACTGACAAGAGCTCAAGAGGGAGTTGCTGCTCTGAAAGTGACAAAAGGTGTGTAGCTGCAAGCTCATCAAGCAGAACGTTCAACACTGTTCTGGCCATTTAATGACTAAGCCTGAGCCAGCTCAAAATCAGTCAGAAACAGATTTCAGACAACGGGAGAGCTAAAACACTGGTTCTCAGGGAGGATGTCCAAGAGGAGGTCTCTGAAGCTGGGTGTCATCCTTTAGGGTGGCCCAGAATAAAATGGTGACGTATTATGCCTCCTGGCGAGTTCATATACACTTTGAACGGCAAAGACACCAAGTCCCGTGGACTTCCAACGAAGATCTTGGGGCAAGAGGAGATGTCCACCAGCACTCTCTGTGACCTGTTAGAGAGAAACATTCTTAGCTACTCCATCAGCAAGCAAAATTCCCCCGCCAGGCTGTATCTCCTTGACGCCTAGGAAAAAGCAGAAAAGAGATGGGGGGGGGACACCGAAAAGAGAGACGGCCTTTGTCTCCTTTGCAGTATCACTAATAGGCTTCCGCAAATAAAATCTGGCTTCAGTCAAGTCTAAAAGTGAATCAGATTCTAAAAATTTCTGAAACTAACAGCATGGTTGTCAGCCACCAAATTACTTCTGCAAAGAAAGAAGTGGCTTCATAACAATTATTATACATGCTTCTGGAATCAAAAGATGGATGGTGTTTTTACTAAAAGATTAACCACTAGATGTCACAGAACAGCAGATACTTGTCACAGAAGCGACTCAATGTCCTGCACTGCCTCTCTCCAGCCCAGAAGGCATAAATCTGATTCACAGGTGGCTGGATAAGCTTCCTCGACCCTTTTCTGTGGCATTGGGCAGAAAGACAGTGGGGACGTACAGATATGGAAATGATTGTCTGTAATACCTTCTCATCCACATAGGAAAGGACTTCTCAGAGAAGATGGCATCAGATTTCAAGATTCCATATAAGAGATCAATTTTATTTCCTGGTGTTTCTAACCTTGCTGACACTGGTGCATTAAAGGAAATACAGCTCTAGAAGCTCAACTTTAAAGGTGCAGTGCCTGGGCCGGCCCTGTGGCTTGGTGGTTAAGTGCGCGCACTGCGATGCTGGTGACCCGGGTTCGGATCCCGGGTGCGCATCGAGGCACCACTTCTCCGTTCATCCTGAGGCCGAGTCCCACATACAGCAACTAGAAGGATGTGCAGCTACGACACACAACTATCCACTGGGGCTTTGGGGGGAAAAATAAAATAAATAAAATCTAAAAAAAAAAAAAATAAATAAAGGTGCAGTGCCTGCAAAAGGAAAAACACTCTCTAGCTACCCATCAAGTTTAGGCTTAGGCACTACGAAAACATCTAAGACCTAAATTTATAATGCAATGTTTCAAGGGGTAACTAGGGATTGCATACATTCAAGGAGCTGGACTCTTGCACTTCTTCACCTTTCCAGCTCAAAACTGTTCTATGGTGCCACTTCAACTAAGCAAAGTTATGTCTTTTCAGACTGCACAATTCCTGGGCTATCTCAGCTATACAAAACGATGGAGAAGTGAGTTGAACTGCAGGTCAGAAAACCAGGGTTACAGCACAGGCCACATGTGTTCTAGCCACTGAAACCTAGCAAATCAGTCAGCCTCTTAGGTTCTAGAAAATGAGCAGAATACTCTCTGCTCAAGGAGTCATGACTATCCAGTGAAACGATAACATCCAAAGCACTCTGAATTCTGGGATGTGCTATTATCAGCTGAGGTAGACCATGACACACCAGCCACTGCACATGGTCTAGATAACTGTGGTCTTTAAGGCTGTATGTATTTACTAAATCAGAGGCACAGACTAGAAAACACCCCCAAGAGAAAAGGGTAGTTTTGACTAGTCCTACAAGAGAAACAGGAAAACATACGACTTGCATCCCACTGAAGTCTTTGAAGAGCCTGCACATTTAAAACGGGAAAGTTAAAAAAAAAAATTTTTAAGGAAATCATTTCCTGAGACTTCAGAGCAAAGAGTAAAAAGTGCACCAGTCAGAGACAGAAACTCTGAGATTAGTCAAGTCACCAAATGTTCTCTGCACAATGAAAGAGCAAACAGTGCATTGGTTCATTTCCACAGACGAACAATCCTCTCTCCAGGACTTAAAGATGATATGAACTGTGACTTCCAGACTTCTGTTGGGAGAAGGCTCATATACTACTGGAAAGACCCATGTTTCAAGGTCACACTCAAAAATATTTTTCTTCATTTTAACATTGCTTCTTACTCACATTGGCCTCTTCTAGTCTCTAGGATGACTGAAATGGATCTAAAACTCGTGAGGAGGGGAAAAACAGAAAGTAGGCTTCTTCCTTTTGTATCTGTTTACACACATTGTTAAAATAATACTGTTCAACTGGATGACACCGAGATGGAAAAACAATACAACCTGTTCTTTCTGAAGAGTAGAAAAAGGTGCACAGGGTTACAGAGGCTTCAACAGAACAGGAAAGCCAAAAGAAAATACTAAAATTTGGGCTGAGATGTTATCACCATATTTCCTTCAAACTCAGTAGAAAGCAAGGTTTTATGGAAGGAGATTTTTAAATCAATAACCAGATCATCTTTTCCCCTGTTAATAAAATAACAGATAAACTTGTCTTATGGGCCTACAACCACTTATAAAAGAAAAAAGAACTGCTAATCTTATGAAAAGTGTCAGATCAGCAGCCAAAGGGAAACATCCTTTTCCCAGCTCCTTATAGAAAGGTTGTCTCCCCAAAAACACACAACTTGGGGTCATACTTCTCAGTGGTCTGGGTTGCAGTGACCCAGGCAGCTCCAGAGGTGAACTGGAAAGGGAGCCTTGAAAAGGGGAACAGTCATCAAAACAAAATTCATCCAAAGTCCTTGCTGCCCCCACCTGGAACTTGCCAGAACAGAGCAAGGTAGAAAGGGCTTTGGGGCAGTCCCCTATGGGGGGCGCTGCAGCAGACAAAGGCTTCAGTTTCTAATGCCAGGCTTGCCTTTTCCATATTCTATAAGGAGCATATAGTCCTTCACATCAATGACCACAAATAGACACCTTCTACCTGGAAAAGGTGTCCTCACCTACCACCAACAGTGCAACTTCTAGACCAACTCATATGCAAGAGAGAGAAGGTGGATGGCCACCTGGCTAGCCAACTGAAAGGGGCCCAGACATCACGGTCAGAGAGCCCACCCACCCCATCAGTCCCATTCCTCATGGGCAGGGTTACACAGAGCAGGGTTTCAGGGTTCCCCTGTCTATGTAGTGCTTCACCTCAACTTGACCAACCTGCTTAGGACTCCAGACAAAATACTCTCTTCCAGACAAAATGAACTCCTTGGGATAATTATCTCACCAGGAACTTTTACCTGAGTTGGAGAGCGAACTCACAAGAGTGCTCAAGGCAGACTGATCAAGGCCAGAGAACAGATGTTAGGGAGGTAGATCTCAAATTTATTCATTCAATCAACATGATAGCTGTGTTTCTAAGAATCGTCATGTAATCAAAATCCAGCAGGAACTTTCTTTTTTTTTTTGAACATTTCTTTTTTTTTTTTTTTGAACATTTCTTTTTTTTTTTTTTGTGAGGAAGATTGGCGCTGAGCTAACATCCACACCAATCCTTGTCTTTTTGCTGAGGAAGATGGGCCCTGAGCTATCATCTATTGCCGATCCTCCTCCTTTTTTTTTCCCTCCCCAAAGCCCGAGTAGATAGTTGTAGGTGGTAGTTGCACATCCTGCTAGTTGCTGTGTGTGGGACGCGGCCTCAGCATGGCCGGACAAGCGGTGCGTCGGTGCGCTTCCGGGATCTGAACCGGGCCGCCAGTAGCACAGCGTGCACACTTAACCGCTAAGCCACGGGGCCGGCCCCAGGAACTTTCTCAATATGAAAAAAGACAGTTTTAGGTGTTCAAAAACAAAGCAAGTTTTTCCTGCATTAAATTTCAATAATAGTGTTTTGTGTGGTTATAAGTGTAGTACTATAAAAATTAAATGTCATTGACCAAATCCAGCGTTTTATTTCATATAGCTTTTGTTCTGGAAAATTCATTATTGGGCGTTTATCATTTCTTTCTCCTTAGCACAGCCTTCTTACACAGTTTTATCACCTTTATCACTCACTGTTGTAAAGCACAAAGCTACTGAAACAAACAGATGCCACAGCTTTTTCCACCAGTGTGGTCCACTGGGCCCAATGCTGATTCCAGACCAAAATGATGTAAGTCATGGTCTATATTAAGAGATGGAATCACATCCAATTCGTATCATAAAAATTCACATTGTGGGGAAAATGCTTATATTTACTGTAGGCCTACTAGATGTCAAATGCCAAAAATGGGGGAAAAAAAAAAAAAAAGAAAGAAAGAAAGAGTCCTTCTTGTCACTGTGCTGGGAAAAGGGCCACAAAGTGCAGAAGAAGGGAAGAACAGGGTGCTCTGGGAGCCCCAAACAGGCAGCACATAACCTAGACCCCAGCTCCTCGAAGAAAGAACTCTAAGCTGAGATTTTAAGAATGAGGGAAAGTTAGCCAGACAGATGAGAGGTGGGAGTTGGATGAGGAAGAGGAACAGCATGACTAAAAGCTGGAACATAAGAGAAAGCAAGATGCTTCTAAGGAGGAAATGCTATGGCTAAAGTGAGCGAAGAAGCGGGCAACAGATGAGTGATAGGGCCGGAGAGATAAGCAAGGTCTCCAAAACCTGCTGAGCTGGGTCAAGGATTCTGGACTTTATCCCAAAGGCCATGAAAAACCAGGGGAGGGAAAGGAAAACAGAGATGCAAACAGATGTCTAATAGTAATAAATGTTCATTTTGGCTTCAGAGAGGAAAATGGGTTGGACCAGAACAAGAGTACATCTCGAGAGGCCACTTAGGAGGTACAGCACATCCTAAGCCACTCCGCCCAGCTGAGTGACGAGCCCATGTACAGACCTTGAGTCCTGACTTCCCCAAAGCTCAGTAACTAGGAAACTGCTCCCAACCTCTTGCCCAGAGAGCTCTCTCCAGGGAACAGCTGCAACAGGAAGGAAGCAGGGCAGCAGTGTGCCTCTCTACTCTAACGTGCATGAAAATCAAACCCCATTCCTCAGCAGGGCGGCCTGCAGGACTAAATGAGCGGAAGGTGTGAAGACCCCAACCCAGAGTCGTTGGATAACGGTTCTTTTATTTTCGTTCGACAACGACTTGGCCAGGCCTGAAACTCCTGACTGATCTCTCCAGGCCCAAGTGAGGGAGGCTGCCAGGCTTCCAGCCCGGTTCCCAGGGCAGGGCTCCCTGAGAGAAACATGGGTCAGCAGCAGAGGGCAGGGAACCCCAAAGGCAGGCAGAGGAGACTCGACAGCTAGGAAACCAGCCCAGGGTGGGT